GGATCAGGGAATGCTCTCTCAGGACACAAGGCTCCCTCAGCCCCGCGGTGTTTGGCACTGCCTGAATGCCAGAGTCCCTTTGTGGGCTGCCTTTAGCAGGAGGTGACTGACTCCTGTCTGCCAAAGCAGTGCTGGCACAAGTTGGAATACAGATGTGATTATCTTAATAAACATTCCTGTCCTGGTCCCAGCTGTTCTGTTCAGTGACCTGATGTAGCCTACAGCAGTCAAATCCTTGCATCTGAAAGGCACCACAATGAGCACAAGCAATGCAAGCAGCCAGGGGCTCTTTCTGTCCATGCCATTCTGAACTAAACATTCCCCTGCAATAAATATTTGAATGCACAGGGGAAAAGAGCAAGCAAAGCCCCAGGGAGCTCCCCTAGGACAAGGAGCATCAGCACAGGTGAAGGAGCCCCAGGCCACAGCAGGAGCACTGGAGAAGGTGCCTCCTCCCAGATGTTGTTCACCACACAGGCATGGTGTTCAGAACAGCCAGGGCTGCAAATGCAGCCTGCAGGCTGGAAACAATCCTGCTCCTGTCTGCCCCCACACCAAGGAAAGTATTCTGCTGCTGCAAAACAGCTACAAACTACCACGAGGTACAAGACAAAATAGAAATGAGCTTATTTACCCCTGCATCTGTTGGCTCCACTGCAAACAGGAGCGAGGACTCCCAGAAGGATTCCTTCATCAGGAAAGGAAGCAGCTCTGACTTTGAGCCCACACAGAAAGAAAAGTTGTGCTCAGAAAGAAGTGCTATTTTTAGCTGTTTTCCAAGTGAAAACTATGCTAAGCTGCAAACCCCAGTCTCCTCTGTTCCGTTTAACTCTCTCAACACTATTTCTTGGCAAGTGTTTCTATGTGGGATAGAGGTGAGTGTCATACTTGAAATTTCTCCCTTTTTTACCCCCCTGTCAGTCTGAAAATCAATCAATCAATCAGCCTTCCCATAGCACAGGAACAGGTGCCAAGGTCTGGGTGGCTGAAGGGGTCACTCATCCATTACAGAATATGGGAACTCTCAATGTCTCTACAAGGCACCTCCTTGTAGTTCTTTTAATTACTTGGAGAAGACCGGACACTTATCAAGGGAATAAAATAATGCAATGAGAAAGATGCAGCTCATTGATTCCCATCCTCCCCACCTTCCTCAGCAACTGTCCATCTCAGAGCTTCACAAATGACATCACACAAAACTTCAGCATTTATCTTAGAATGACAGTGAATTATCCTCATCCAAACCCAGTATCTAGATGCAACTTAGCATTGGCTGTAGCCCAGTTTGTGCTGAATTTAGAGGCCAGTTTTGTCTCCATCCATGGCTGGCACACCCCTGGGGGCTGAGGACAAGGGGCAGCTTGCCAGGCTGCATGGAGATGTTCCTGCAGCAGGCAGGGTGTGACTCCAGTCACAGCCCAGAGCTGCCCTGGCTGCACACGAACCACACAGTCATGGAAAAGAGCTCCAAGAGTGAGTCCAACCTTCAATTCCACTCTCAGAAACCCAGTTAACAAACCCAGGGTTAGCAGTGGGATTCATAATTAACTGGGGAGAGGGCTCTTAAAACTCACCGAACACAATTTACCTTTTGTCTCTGCAGTTCCCAAATTCATCCTGACAGCAGTCAACCCCCTGGTCCCTGGTAACAAGTCTTCCATCAACCAGAACGATGGTAGGTACCTGCACAGACACAGGGTTGGGATGGAGCAGTGCAAACCCTGCTCAAAGAGCCGCTCTTCCCGTTGGAGAGCAGAGGACAGGCTGGGAGTGGGGTGGGAGCACAGTCCTGCAGGAAGAGTGACCTGCCCAGCCTGCCCAGAGCCAGCATGCTGGGGAGAGTAAAAGTGAAATTGCAGCTGTTTCAGGGTGGGGAGTCTTTTACAAGTTATGCCAACAACAGCTCTTCTCCAAGGCCACAAAGTTAAGGATGAGTCTGATGTGTGTCCCCAGTAACAGGAGCACATGGCATGGTTAGGCTGGGAAGGCCACTGGAGAACTGTGAAGCTTCATGAAGTAAAATTATTTCAGAAGCCCCAGTGGGAATAGGCACAAGGGGTTTCACTTGGCAATAGACTCTTTTAACTGAATTTGCCATTTTCTAGATGTTTGATATTTTCAATAATTTGTTATTTCTACTTTATTTAACTTACCAGCTGTCGTTTGGTCCAGTGTTCTGCAGCTCCCTGAGCACAGCACTGACCTGCCCGTGTTTTGGGTGGACTTGTTAGCTGGGAAGTTACTGGGTTTATAAAATATCAGTTTAGTAGCTTCACTGAATTTGCTTTACCTCCTCGTGTCACAGGTGTCGACCTTGATCCAAGAGAATCGAGGCTTCCAAAGAAAGATGGGACTGTTGTTAGCTCCAACTACTTGGCTACATTTGCATATATTAGAGGTAGGAAAATGAGGCTCACATTGTTCGGCCCACTGGATCATGGCATTGTGGGAAAAGGGGGGATCAATTCCAAAAGTTACAAGTAATCCCATCTTTATGGTAATGATATTACAGTATCATCACAGTCTTGCGGATGAGGCAATCCCAGCATAGTTGATATTCAAGGAATATTCCTTGCCTTGAGGGATTCATACTCTCTTAGCAACTGCAGCTAAGATATTTTTAAGTTTTCAATGGGGACTGTTGGTTTTTCAGTACTTTTGAAAACCCAGCCCTGACCTGTGAGAGCACTGGAGACATCCATCTTTGGAAAGGCTGGGTTGCATACACACACGGATCATCAAGGAGTAAAAAAACCAGGAAAAAGCCATCCAAAGCCAGCCTCCTCTGCTGTGAAATGAAGCAGGTTCTGTGACTTAGCAACACTAAGTGCCAAGGAAGAAAAGTGCTCCCTCCTCACCTGGCCTGGAGATGCTGCCGAGGCCCTGCAGAGCCCAGAGTCACTCTGCTCATGGCCCTGGTTGTTTTGGCAGCATGGCTGGAAACACCAAACAAGGTGTGCAGAGTTCTGGCAGCTGGCTGACAACAGCACTGAGCTGCTCGCCAAGGGCTGGGGCCATGCTGTTATTTGACAGTGCTAGAACCACAATGGATTTTTGCCCAGCAGCTGGAGAGGCAGGGTCGGGCTGTGTCAGGAGGTTTGGGTGCCCTGTGCCCCACAGAACTCTGGGGAATGGCTGCTGGGGCAGTTTGCACAGTGATTAAGGCCTGGCTCTCTTGCCTGCAGATCACCCTGAAAGGCTCGCTCTGCTCTTTGTGTCCAGCGTTTGTGTGGGGCTCATCTTCACGCTGTGTGCCTTAGTGATCTGCGTGCTGTGTCCCGGGGACATCCGCAAACTGCGCGGGAACAGGGATCAGCTGGCGCCACACAGTGCCAGAGCCCACAGGAGCACCGAACCACGGGAGGAGGAGGAGGAGGAGGAGGATTCCTCCCTTTCGGACACCCAGGATGAGACAGACGGACTGTACCGACCTCCGTACTCAGGGTATAACTCAGCAGAGGCGGCGGAGCTGGCCGAAAGGATCGAGCGCAGGGAGCAGATCATACAGGAGATCTGGATGAACAGTGGCTTGGATATGACACCCCCTAGGAATATGAACACATTTTATATTAATGAACAATAAATGGCTTATTTTGGATGGCACTCTACCCCTTTTTAAAAAAACAAAATGTACCTTCTGTGAAGGAACATTCCTATCAGTGAATATAATTATTTGTAAAATAAAAAGAAATATATACAATAAAAAGAGGGTTTCATACCCTTGACTGTCATGAAATCCTTCTGTGAAAAACACTCTACAGTTTTAACTAATGGTACAGATTACTTTTCACTGTCATTTAGTTTCACTGTAACTGCCAAATGCATGTCCAGGAATATTAAAGAAGGTGGAAAATATTTAATCAGATGTATTCAACCATCAGAACAGATCTGCCCAAGATGAGCTCCTGCTGCTGCCTGTGCTGGCCAATCTGTGAAGGACAAGCTCCAAAACGGCTGCTGCTCTCATGAAGGACTCTCAAAGTTACCACACGCCAACAATACTTCACTTAAGGGAAACACTGCGTTCATTTTCCTGATCCTAAAGCAGGGTTAGAGCCAGCAATTCAAGGCAGGTCGTATTCTCAGGATTTGTTATCAGTTCACAATCTTCACTTGAAAATTGTTAGACTAGTCGGATTTGGTTTCAGTTAGAGAGAAAATTAAATCAATAATGTGTCTAAGCTGAAACCAAAACAGCCTTCCTGTCTTAAAAATGTCTCCAATATTTTTGCTGCAGCCCACAGGGAATTTACTGAACAAAAGGAGGAAAACTGTCACTTCCTACTGGTAATACTTCATGGGTTCACTGTGCTTCTCCACTTAGATGTCGTGTGCCCAGGTAGAGCGTGGTATGAAACCCTTGGAAAGAAAACAGTGACGTGGCTTGTCATTTCCTGCTGATACACAGTGAAATTAATCCTGGAAAAACTTTAAAGGGAGGAAGGGACCTTGCTCAGATGACTAAGGCACAATCCTGTGCTCAACTGGAAAAATCTCAGCAGCAAGCAGCATCCTATCAGCGGAAGGAAGAGAGGCTGAGGAGCTGGACGGAGGGCTGAGGTCACCAGAGCACTGGGAAACTGCAGGAGAGGCCAGCACAGCCCAGGAGCCTGGCTGCAATCCCAGAGTTGCTCTCCCATTCAGCAGGAAGCTGTCACAGCCTGTGCTGTGCACAATATTGATCATCAGGTTTAGGTCAGGAGAAGCCCATGCCCTTGTCCTGAGGGTGAAGGTGGTAAATTTGCCTTTGGGGAGGGCCCTGGGCCAGGTCTGGCTCCTTCCTCCCAACCCATGGGGCAGGAGCCACCCACTGACAGTCAGATACAGAGGGACTGATCTACATCCCAGCAACTCCTCCTGCTGACAATCCGTGCTAGGGACAAAAACCTCATCTTCTTTTCATGGAGCGGGCTGGGCTGAGGGCAGGGGCTCCCCAAAACTCTATCCTGGTTAAACTCTCTTTTGGAAAGCCTGGGGCCCACAACCCAGCTAATCTTTTTTGGAAGTTATCTGGCTGGCAGTTAATGTTTATAGTCACTAAAATCTGTGCATTTTCTTCCCTCATTTTTTACCGGGAAGCCTCAGTGGGGTTTCAGCCCACAAGCCGACATCCTAACAAAAGCTGGGAGTTACCTTTACCTTGTCTTGAGTAAAGTGAAGGAAAGTCAGGATGTTGTTACCTGGAGAACACCTGGTCCAGCCAAAGAGGGGACTCCACAACCTTTCTGGGTGCCCTGTGCCAGTGCTCAGCCACCCCCACAGTGACAGAGTGTTCCTGAGGCTCAGAGGGACCCTCCTGTGTTCCAGTTTGTGTCCATTGCTTTGCCCCTGCCACTGGGCACACGGGTGCTTTCCCCACTCTGTTCATCCACTCCTCCATCCATCTGGTACCTCTCGCTGGGATTCCCAGCTCACACCTGCGTCTTCACTCCTGGTAACAAAACTGCAGTGGCAGCACATCAGCAGAAACCTAAGGTTAGTCCCTTCCTTGGGCCAAAAGGGTTTGCTTTTCCCAGCTCCCAGTCCTCTCCTTGCTTTTACAACCTTGGAGGAAAGACATTTTACATCGCAATAGTGATTTAACAATGAAAAGTGATTTAACTGATGACCTGATCCCCTCCTGACTTATCTCCTGCCTGCACCACTCACCAGCAAGCAGACAGACAGAAATTCCTCCAGGTGCCAGAGAAGCAGCTGCTTCCCAAGGTGGAGCATTTCACAGACACTGGGAATGTGTTTAGAGGGAAAACAATGTGCAGTGCTGAATAAGGCATGCCTGTCTAAATGGATCCCCAAACACAGTGACAGACCCTGCCCAAGCCCCAGCACCACCTCAGCAGGGCAGGGAAGCAGCTTCTGCCCAGGCTGGGAGGTCAGGCCTCACTCAGAATCTGTTCCTCTGACTGAACTATTTATAGTTCTGCATTCGAATTGCTATTTCATTCTTTTTGCATAAACTTTCCAGGCTAATTGGGGAAAGCTGTCAATTAGTGGTTCACCTCATTTCCAAATACTCACTGTTCGCAGCAGTCAGAGTCAGAATGAAGGTAAACATAGAAACATCTGATAAACAGACATGGAATTATTTGAATCTTTCTGAAACAACACCCAAAGTATCCAGCAGACAAAACAGAAAATGAATGAGGTACGCACTTCTGTCCCAAGCCCTAAAAACCAGCAGCTGCAGTGCCACAGCTGGAACCTCTCCAGGCTGAGGGTTTAGCAAAGTTCTGGTGTGTCTCCTTGGAGAGAGAATGGATTTCCTCCATGGAAGGGCACAGCTACTCTCAAACTCCCAAAAATAAGTGGTTTACAAGAAAGAAACACCACAAACAGGTTTGCAACTTTGCAAAATCAAAGTTTTGTCTATCTCATTATCTCCTTGGACAGTTAAATACCCACAGGCTTTCCTCAGTTCCAGTACTCTTCAATCATTTCCCAGTGAGTTCATTCCATTTCAGCCACAATAAATGAATCCAGCAGAGCCACAAACACTGTTGAGACAACTTCAAAAAGCATCAATGCTATGGAGAGTTTGCTCAGCTAAAGAAAAAACCAGCACCAATTACATCAGAGAACAGCAGTCAAAGGGGAGCAGAATCTGTGTTAAATGTTTCCTATGCGTGCTTTTCCCTTGCTTTCAGGGAGGAAATGAGAATATTATAAGCTCCAGGACATTGATTTTCCTCTTAGGAAGTGGAAGAACAAAGTGTTTTTTCAAGAACCTTTTTTGCCATGTGAAATAATTCCAAATAAGTGTTAAATTAAAAATATTTGAAGCTTTTCAACTCAGAAATGCTGATTTTTCCTTTAGTAAAAACTCATGTTACTGTAAAGTTGAGATTCAAGAAAAACTACCAGACACCAAACTTCCCTGGAAGTAAAAAAATTAGTGATTGCAGTAAAAGCACCATGAATAGTTCACTGAATGGCATTCATCACCTGTTCTGCATCCAGTCTTCAAGCTGCGAGTTCAGCAAACACTTGGCTTTCAACTTGATCGGTGTCTCTTCAACCAAACTCCTACAGGAAATTATGATGATTTTTTACTTCCATCCTAAAAGATCTGGTCGTATTAAACTTGGGTTTATCCAATCTACCTGCAAATGATGCTTATTTTTGTACACAAATGACTCTCAACCTCGATGTACCAGCAAGAAAAACTAAACCCAAAGAATGAAAAGGAAGCATGAGGATGTCACTGATGTTTATATAAAAACATTTCCTTTAAACAATTATTAAGAAGTTAATTCATTTAAAAATTACAGTTTGGAAAGCGCTATGTTGAAATGTGAACAAGCACATTAAAAAACGTTAAATCTCCCTGGATTAGTCAGGGGAAACTGATTTCCTATAAAATAAATTACCTTCTCCAATAGCAATGCAAGAGTGAGAAGAGAGTATAAAGAGCACTCTGAACACCACCAAACGCTCCAGGGCATATTTACATCTCTTACCTATGAAACAGATTGACACTTCTGTATCAAAATTACAAGTTTCTAATAGAATACCAAACATCAGGAGAATCTGTTAATTTCTTTGCAGAGGAAAGTGCTGCTGCAGTCACAGAGAAATAGGAACATTTATTGAACATCTAAGGCCACAGAAATGACAGTTTCAGCTGCTGTCTGAGGAATCTACCACACACAACTCCTTGCTGCAAACAACAGCATCAACCGAGCAGCTTAGGAAGGGGGGTGCAGAGCTTCATCTTGGACCCCACTTGATGTCTTTGACACCGTGAAATTGCCTTTTCAGAGCATGGCTGTCTGCCCACTCCGCATTTAGGAACGAGTCGTCGTCCTCCTCCTCCAGTTTCTGTGGCAGAGAGGGAGGGAGGCAGTGAGGGCACAGCCTGAGCCCTGTCCTGTCCCAGCAGCCCAGCACCACAGGCACACACCCACCTTCAGCTCCTCCTGCTTCCTGTAGTAGTACAGCATCATCTCCTTCTGCTCCTCATGGCTGAGCACAGGCTCCCGCCCCGGGGCTCCCTGTCCTTTCTGCAAGGGAAGTTGAAAACGCTGCTGATGGCTCTGGTGATACAGAGCAGAAGCTGCTACACAGAGACAGCAAAAACCTCTCTTCAGACAGCTGGATTGCTCAAATTCAATAAGGTCCCTCAGAACAGGAAAATAAATGCTGAGAAACTGTGGCTGCATTCATACAATCACAGAATGGTTTGGGTTGGAAGGGACCTTGAAGATCATTTAATTCCATCCCCCTGTTGTGGGCAGGGACACTTTCCACTAGCCCAGGGTGCTCCAAGCCCCATCCAGCCTGGCCTGGAACACTTCCATGGATCCAGGGGCAGCCACAGCTTCTCTGGGCACCTTGTGCCAGGGCCTCAGCACCCTCGCAGGGAAGTGAGGCTTATTTGTTCATCTGTGTCTGAATCGTGCTGTCAATTCTGTGGACATCAATGGAAGATGCAAACAGGATTAAGTCTATTTTACATATATTTCCACTTTAAAAGATAAAATAAATCTGTTTTAAGGTCACTCTACATATCTCTTTAGCTCCCTACTAATACAGACACAGGACGGCATAGGATTCAATAAAGCAGGGAAGTAAGGAAGTTACAAACCACTACAAATAAAAGGAAATTTCTTATCCAGGCCACTGTGTCCCTGGAAGAAATGAAGGGCAAAGCAGAAAACTCGTGCTGTCAGCAAGTGCAAGCACAGCATCCTGCATGAAGATGGTGGATGCTCTCAAGAACAAACAGGTCTGAGGCAGTTCATTCTTTGAGCAAGTCCTTCCACTAATTAAACAGAGAGCATTCCTGGGGGGCTACACTTCAGGGGCTATTGAGAGGCCACACCATTTCCCAGGGACCCTGGGAGCAAAGAGAAAGCAAATCTGGTCTAAATAAATCACCTAAACCACATAAATCACCCTCTCAAGGATGCACTGCAGAACCCACTGCAGGTGGCAAGATTTGCCATAAAACTTGTCAGTTTGTATTCCCTCTATTCTTAAAATACCTCCTTGTTGTACTTCACAAAAACACCACGGAGCAAAGAAACAGCAACTACAGTATGTAACTGACAGGCTCAAGAGCTACTGAAGAAAAACTCAGAGTATAATCCATTCATACCTTAAAGCAGATGCACAAGCCGGAACTAATCTAATCCATTTTATACTCCTATGCACAGTTCTCTTCCACAGAGAACAGAGAGCCAAGGGTGAGGAACTTGTAGAGCAACCTCCCAGCAATACTCACTTTCTGGATCTTCACAATGATGGTTGTTTTCTCATTTTTGCCCACATAGTCAGAGAGCAACTTTGTTTCTTCTAACTGCTTTCCTGCCCACCACAACTGTGCTTCTGATTCTTTTATAACTTCAGTTCCAGCCTGTGACAAAAGAAACAAAGTGAAGAGTTGGAGAATATTGTTTCTTGGGTTTGGTTTTCTTTTTTTTTAACCAGATTTTTTTTCCGGGGAAAAATAAATATCTTTCTGGAATTCCTAACATGAAGTGTAATCTTACACTCCTACATGTTTCTCCTCATAATCATCTGTGGCATTTTTATTTATATTCCATTCAATTCTGATCTAATATAAACACTCTGGGACACAAATTCTCCATGGTGGAGGTGAAAACAACTTTCACTGATGAGATGCAGAACAGCACAGACATGTTTAACCCAGGACTACACACAATGGGAATACATTACTGCGTACATGAGTTCCTGACAAGTCTTCTTTATCCTCAAACTCCATCCTGATGGGATCATGGGGAGGCAATCCCATGGGATACACGATCAGGACAGCCCCTCGGAGCTGCTCCAAGGCATCCTTCACCGTCTCCATGTCCACACACACACCAGCCTGAACTTGTTTCTGAAACACACACAAGGATCAGGGGCAACACAAGCAAACCTGTCTGAAACACACACAGGCATCAGGGGCAACACAGGCAAACCTGCAGGAAACACACACAGGCATCAGGGGCAACCCAAGCAAACCTGTCTGAAACACACACAGGGATCAGGGGCAACACAGGCAAACCTGTCTGAAACACACACAGGGATCAGGGGCAA